GAGGTAATTAACAGATAAATAAAGAAGCAACACACAAACACACACACACACACACACACATATATATAAAGCCTACCTTTGGTGAAGTTCTTTGAAGCATATATCGTTGGCGATGGCGAGGTGGGGCTTGGCTTAGAACTTGCTGATTTACTAGTTTTGCTTTCGTTTGGTTTGTCCGATGTGGTGCGTGTCACTTTTGTTACTAATGACGAAGGAGTTGGCTGTTCTCCGGTAGAGGAAGCGCTTCCGTCTGTACTGGCACCTGTCGATAACGTTGGTTGAAGCGATGGTGGTTCTGTCGACTGGTCCTTTGGTCCTGTAGTCATCTTGCTTGAGACAGTCGTGCTGTCCTCTTGAGCACCTGGCGTGGTGGATGTTGTCACGGTCTTTGTAGGCGAGGTAGTCGGCACGGTGCTTGATTCAGCAGATTTTCCCTCCGATGATTGAACGGCAGAAGACGTTGTCAAGGGTCCGCTTTGTGTATTAATTGGCGGTTTGTTCGACTCGGTAGTGCCTTTCGATGTTCTGGCAGAGGTTGCTTTGTTTGTCGGTGTGGTATTTGACTCTGTACTAGAAGCAGAGGCAGTTGTTGGATTTGCCGTAGACGATACTGATGTCGATTTGACTGAGGTGGATGTGGTTATGGTTGGGGTAATAACAGTGGATGTGGTTGGTTTGGTTGTACTGTTTGGTTGTCCAGTAGAACCAACAGTAGAGGATGTTTGACTACCTCCTGCACTAGCCGTTGGCGTAACCGTTTGCTTACTAGCGGTTGGTGTTTCTGAAACTGTATTAGTTGGCGATATGCTCATTGCCGGAGTAAACGTAGCTGGACTTGTTATCGGTGTACTTGGAATGGCTTTTGTTGTCGCAGCTGTAGAGGCTTTAGTCGGTGGCGTTGAAATTGAAATATTTGGTGTAGTGGGGATTTCCGTGTTTGTTGAAACGTTTGATGTCGTAAAAATCGTTGTATTTCCTGAGGTTGGCGATGCAGACGTTGGTGCTTTTGTTGTAGCATTCACTGTGCTCTGGCTATTCATGGTTGAAGACGCAGAAACTGGTGCACTTCCGGTGGATAACAATGTCGACGTTGATGCCGTTGTTGTAGTGTTTTTTGGAACTGATGTGCTCTCTGCCGGTGGCATTGGCGTCCCTGGAGTAATATTTGTAGTATTAGTTGTGCCGGGACCCACCGTGTTTGTTGATACGTTCGTCGATGCAGGGACTGGTGTACTCTTTCCCGATGACAATGTTGTCGCATTGCGTGGTGATTGCGCTGGCGTTGTAGTATTGCTCCATGTCTCACCGTCGACACATGATAAACGCAAACTGCACGTTACAAGCAGCAACAGTATCAACGAAGGGGCCATCATTTTAACTGTGGTTATAAATGTCCGCTTAGCAAGGTATCTGTGGCCTTTGATCATAATCGGGAAAATAAATAAATGAACAATGAAATAGTTGATTGATCGGTAAATAGCTTAGATAATCATTTAAGTTGTGAAAGGCAGTTTAGAGGGTTTCGTTATCCAATTCGTTTAAAGCTTCCCCCCCCCCCCAACTTATTTATGTCAAAAATCAAAGCGTTTTGATCTTGTCTTCCTTTTTTTCACGAACCGTGGATTCAACCAAGTTTTATATGATCTACTTGGAACGAAGTTTTTCATTAGTTTGTAAATATTCGGTTAAGGTGTGTTAATTCAAATTATTAAGTTATTACTTTTAATCAATCCAAACAAATACGAGACATTTGCCAACTATAACATAGTTAAAAACTCCTTTGCCTTGAAAATCAATCACTTTCTCACTACTTAATTTTTTTAATTGTTTGTTAATTAGTTCATGAGATTTAAGGTAATAAAAGAGCCGTTTCATCTGCTTTTTAAGACCATATCTTGAGAACATCTGGACTTGTCTTTTTTTCAACTACTTAAATTTCTGAGTCAACGGTGAACCGCTAAAAAATGAGCGCGTGACCTCAACTTACCTGTTAAACTGGATCTCTGTCAATTCAGTAAGGTAACTCAATAACGTCCTCTTCTTCCAATTTCCAAACCAATATACACCAAGGTTAACATATAAATTTACACGATACAAATATTTAAAGAGAGTGTCGCAGCAAAATAAAGCTCATTGCCTTTTGAAAACGAATTTTCTTCAGAGAGAGAAAAATAACTGCCGGGGTCGCTTGAATATTTCAGTGGTGACTCTAGCGTGATTTTATCGCGAGTTCCTGGTTGTTCTTTTCAGTAAATATAAGCCGACACGTTTGTGTAAACACACATTTTGATAAAAACTCAATAGATAGAACCCTCTTTCGTGACTGCCCAACAACGCATTGCGAATTAATGCACAACTGACATATTAAGCACCCCTGTGCAAACCTAAACTTATCGCGTATTATTTAGGTCTATGTGTAACACTTTAGATAAAACAACGTGTAACGTAAATTAATGAGTGTTAGTCTGAGGAGAGTTTGGGCATGATTTATTGTATTTCTTTTGTAATTGCTTTAAGTGATTAATGGACGCATGGGGAGATTTATGAGGTAATAGAAGGCGCGCTGTTGCGTTGGGAGGGACAACTGAGTCTTATGACAGCGCAACACATGCAATGCAATTTGGGACTCAAGGAACAAAAAGAGTCCGAGATTCCCTTATTCACTGGCCCACCAAGGCGAAATTAAAGTATCCCCCCCCCCCCCCCCCCCTCTCATCCCATACAAACGCTCCACTAGCCTCCGTGATGTCGGTTTTAAAATTGTAGCAATATGGCACGAGACTTCATGATTACTCCTCCGTTTTCTACTGACCTGGGTTCTATACGAACACCTCTCACCAAAATGCTCACCTGATTTGCCTAAAAGTATTAATAGGTTACCTAATTTCCGTATGGAAGCCTCGGAGTGAACTTTACTTTTTATGATATGACACAAAATCTCCCCATCCCAGGAAAGGGATTCTGGTTTGATGAAATCATTACCCCCCCCCCCAAAAAAAAAAAAAAAAAAATTCTATCTGCCGTTTAACTTGGTATTACGTGACCAGGCAGAGCAATGAAAGTTCATATGTCGAATGAATGAACTACAGTGGGATTGTGTTAGAGAAGACAAGATGCATTTACATCCATTCTACCACCAAGTTAATGATATTTATTTTCGTCAATATTATCTTATTTTTACTGTTACAGCTATATATGCGTTTTTGTACGTTACTTAAACATAAACTCATGATTAAAAATAAACACCTCAAAGTGTTTTATGTTGAACGTTTTTGACATTTTTTTCTTTCATACGGCAGTTGCGTGGGATTATTATTACATCATTTTTGTGGCGTAAAGTGACTTATACACTAAGACGGCTAAGCCCTTTAGTAGCCCTTCGCCACTGCACTTGCGGTTGCATTGTATTACATTGTGATTTACATCACAGAATGTATATAAAGAATTACAATATAGACGGCTAGATATGCCGATGTGACAGGAATTGTGGTCAGCTTGAAACCGTAGACTGTTCCCCATACTTTGTACGGGTGACATTTGTCCCAAATACTAACTAACCCCAATACTCCGACTAACCCTAACCTGCATGTAATAAGCATATGGGAGCTCTGATTTCCATTCCTAGGACCATCATTATTGTTTTTTTATTTATATTTTTATCGTGCGTATTGACATATTCATATAAAACAAACAAGAACAACTGAATTAGATGTAAATTTATTTTGATCATTACAACGTCTTATTTATTAAAAAATGAATGTATCACAGTGGACGTTACACACAATGGTATCGAACAATAACAGGCGTTACTGCTCACAGTTATTCACACCCACCTGGCGTTAATACGTCATGAATGAAATTAATCTTTTCTCGCCGTTATGGCGTTGTCTGGTATAAACATGGGTACAACATACAAAATATATATAAAATAAATGCTGTCAGCTTCATTTTTTTACTGTAATTGTATTTAGTCAAATAAACATGCCACACCCATATATAAAATTGGTACCAACGTAACTCACGTAATACAGACCGGATACATTATTAATGACGTCATCAGAAGATCCACTCTGTTATGAACCTTTTCAGCAATACTCCGACTCTGTTTTCAATCTATTATAAACACCATGAGCATACAAAGTTACTACAATTTTCCCTTTGCCTATGCTAATAAATTTTACGAATACGAATACGATTTAACTTGCAAAACTTTCACAAGAAATCCCAGGGCACTCTTATACATAGCGGTAATTTTAATGACTTCATTGCAGTTTTTCAAACTTTTGTCTTTTGCTTATAAGGCCTGCAACACATTCAAAATTCTAAATTATACGTTGCAGTCGAGTCAGTGTTTACAACTCAGCTTCTTTACAACTGGGTGTTTTGAATCTACAGATAATGAAATGAACGGAATGGGGGAGGTATTTAAAAGGAATAATGATAGGTTTCCATGTCCAGAGTATTATTAAGAATCCATTTATCAACAGACACTTATAATAGGTCTGTTAAGCAACTTCCATCTCGTCTTTAAACTTTGCCGACGTCGTTTACTCAACATTTCCCCCTAAACGAGAGGTACATTTTAATTATATATAAACACTTAAATACTGTGAAAGTAAAATCCTGTACGTAAATATTTGTTGTCCCGACCCGTGGGGGCAAACGTCTTTATCACCTAATGACGTCACATACGTTTGTTACGTCAAGTCGACCGCATCTTGATTTAAACAAAAAGGGTACTGCAGTCTTAAACAAATTTTGATAGCTGCTTTGCTTACACATACTTTCATGACGCCTTAATCCACATTGGTCATGGATACGTCACATTTGTTGGCGACTTAATCCACATTGGTCATGAAAACATCACATTTGATGACGACTTAATCCAAATTGGTCATGAATACATCACATTCCTGAGGTAGTTTGAGCGCAAGACTTGAACTGTTGTGTTCACGTGGTAGTATTCCACACTTTCTTGAACATCCAGCATTGAGTCTCATCTAAATAAAAGGCCATATATTTTTCCAAAAGGAAGTGAATAGATGCACAATTTAAAAAAAAATTATTTGACTAACAAGTTTCATCTTTCTGCTGTAAGGTAAACACGGGGATCATGTTTATAACACTCCCAAATTTGAAAAGGACTCATGTGCGGACAGATTGCGGTCCATAATTTCTTAGTGTGAACACAGCAGCTCATTCATGGATGGCATCCAGCGTGCGTGCTTCCCTAATCACTTCATCGAAATACCTCCCGACATCGATCGACGTTGGAGAAGGACCTCTTGCTCCTCGGGATCCCCCTCTTCGCAGTGAGGCTTTAAGGGAAGATCCTTGGACAAAGAACTGCCGCTTTCGTTCCCGGAGTCTCGGTGAAGCTTCTTTGGCAGAGATTCGATGACGGCAGTGCAGTTGTTATTGGGTAATAATACTGTAGACTGATCCTTCCCAATGGAATCCGACAATTGTGAGTCCGAGTCAGCCCGTGAATTGCTTCTCCCAACAGTGACGTCATTTTCCGTGGTAGTGAAGTCATTTTCGATAAAATCAACGTCAAGCGTGACGTCAGCAACCCCATTGCTTTTGCCAAGAACACCATTCGACTTTCGTATTGGCAGTTCTAAAAGCACATTATTGTCTTTAACTTTGCGCGTTTGTGACGGCCGGTCGCTTGGTATATTGTTCCTCCCGTTTATCGGAGGAGAATCTCGTTTGATCACATTATTTGAGTGTATGGAGTAGTCCGAATGTCTGTTTCTACTCAGGTAAGATATTAAGGTGTTAATGTTTTTGGAGGAGCGGCGATCGTCGCCGAACCTGGACAGTTTATATCTCTCCCATCGTTTACGTATCTCTGTTTTCACCTCGTTGTTGAGGAAACAGAACAGGAAAGCTATCACGGCACCCTGGAAAACACATATTGGAAAAGTCTCAGTAATGTCCAGGTTAAATTAATGGTTTTCAAAAACAAAAGCTGAACCATGACTCCAATATCTCAGTCTCATCAACACAAGCGGGTAGGTGTGTGTGTGGATGTTTGTGTGTGTGTGTGTGTGTGTGTGTGTGTGCGCGCGCATATGTGTAAGGGCTAGCGTGTGAGTGTGTGCATGTGCGAGCGTGCCAATGTGCGAGTGCGTGCACGTGCACGCGTGTGTGTGTGTGTGTGTGCATTTTTAAAATCCTGCATTACTTACAGAGAATGATGTAAAGAACATTTCTAGGTAGAGGTAGGCCACCTCAACTTTCTCGTCCAGCTGTCCGTAGAGCAGGGTGAAGGTGATGAAGAGAAGATAGTAGACGCCAAACAAGGGCATAAGAACTAGGGTGGATTTGGCCAGTCTCCTGTAAATAGGAAGCGGAATAAGAATCAAATATGAGGTAATCATATGGTATCTTTTGAAAATGGAATTAAAAGGTACTCGCACGGTGTAAATATAAGACTATCGACCAATTTGATAACTTGGTTTAGGAGAGGTGATGGCTTGTAAACAGTGTCGTAAGACCAAGATTATTTTAAGTTTTATTTTATTTTATTTTAACTAGTGAAGGTAAGCAGAGAAAGCAGCTCAATTTCAGGATTCATGTATTTTATAAATTCATAAATCATTTTTACTTTTCTGTATACATTTATTTGTCTGGATGGAGCAAAATGTGAAATCTACAGAGCGAAAATTTTTTGAGCATGGGAATTTTTTCTGAAGTAATTGCTAGAATTTCCCACTCATTAAACCAATGCCCAATGTATTTTCCACAGACAAGAGGCAATGCACACTGTTTAAGCTTTATGTAATTCTATTTTTCCCATTAAGACCACCTCTCAGATAAAAATAAAATCAAGCTGATTGAAAAGAGACGTTCACCCCAGGTCTGAGAGTCGGTATATTTATCTATATACACATACGCGTATGACACAGCGCATGCACCATTTGCCAAGTTAATAAAGCGCTGTATATGATAAAATCTACTGGTTAAAAAAAGTGTGGAGGGGGGATATAACGGTCGTAATGCCAAGCACATTTTGCGTGCAGCAGGTCACACAGGTTTCTAACAAGCTCATTGCGCTCATTCAGACTGTGTATAGTACTTGTATATTTAATGCAACTTATGCTATATCTGATCACATGCAAAGAGCGTGCACTCTTGCCTACCTAGCACTGTGCCGGTTTGTCTACGTGTGTGGTCATACTCTGCTCCATACTTACCACAAATAAAACCCTAAATCAATCTAAGTGAAAAAAAAATAAAAAAGGGCAACTGGGAAAAACTAAATGCAGAAAAACGCTGTGTGGTTTGCTGGATGTCTTGTACCTCTTTTTCAACGCAAGGAAAGGAATCAAAACGCAGTTTTCATTTGAACTTTTGGTAGTTGGTCATTTTAATAAAACGTTTTATTGATAAGATGTGGCAGTACTTGCTGTTTTCACTTGGCCGGCCATTAGGTTTTATTTGTGGCAGCTGTGGAGCAGAGTGCAAAGTGGGGTGTTACACTGATGAAAATGCTTCCTATTATTAAGCCTCTGATCACAATGTAACTGATACACGGACCAAGAAGTTGTTTCTTTACAACTTCTTGCGCGGACTAACTGAGAAGATCAAAATATCGCCCGATCCACTTGAAAGCTTGCCTCGATTTACTTCCCCGCCCCTGCAGGGGCGGCGTGTGTGGGAGGCGGAGAATCCATGAGGGGATCACGTGGAAAGCTTTCAAGTGCATGCCATATTTGATCCGCGGCTCAGTTAGTCCTTGGATCAACTCGGCTGTGAACAGAGCCTTGCTCTGAGTCTGTGGGTATTATCAGCTACAAGCTCACCCCTTACCTGGAGCTTTGCACATATATTCACCATCGCATCATTGCCTTCAAGTTCCAAAGACTCTTTAACCCCTATTACAGCTGTAACTTTCCTACCCCAAGAATTAGATCTGATACATGCCAACGTCTTCATTTCTAAAAAACTTCTTGACATTAAATATCCATTTTAATATTAATGAGGCACTTCACATGTGAAAAATGAGATTAATGAAGTCGATCTTTCTCAAAGTTGACACGTGGAAGCAACCGAGATAAATGCATGACATTTGAATAAAATCATCATGGCGTGTGAAGAAATCAAATTTGGAATTATAAAGAAGAGACTTTGTTCAGAGGCTCGACAGCTCCATTCCGGATGCATTGACGGCANTATTTGTTGTTTTGACCCTAGAATATTTTATAATGACATGTACCATTGAGTACGATTACGAATAAATAGGCGCCAAACAACGAGAGATTTAACTCGTAAATGGTTGATTGTCACCTCTAGCTACCAGGTTGAGGTCAGTCGATTTTATTTGACGGTAGCCATCAATTAACTGGGACATCCAAAACCTCGGAACAATTACGCTGTGAAAATGGTGTAGCAAAAACTTAACTAATCGTTATTTACATTCTTTTTGCGTTGACTGATATACCCAAAGGAACGTTAAACTAGTAAGTGCTAGACGTATCTTATTCATAAGGTCACAGGAAATGCTGCAAGCGATGTGACATTTCTATCAGAGACAGCTGACACTGGAACAATTACCAAAAACCCTCGCAATTGTTTCCCAATAAACACACTTGCATAAAGCTTTCTAGCCGTTCTTATTCATTGATTTTCACATCCTTTCCGGCAAAAGAATCGTATATCTTAGACAATAAATGTAAATTATTGATGGGGTGATTATAACATAATTGAATAAGTATTTAACCAACGCAGTCAGAAAGCTGTTTCTTAATTTGAGGTTCTTAGTTGTTCTAAAAACAAAAGAGCTTTCTCTGAAAGAGTGAACCTCCATCGAGGTAAAATATAACCGTAACCAAACTGATATCAAAATACTGTAAAATATTATGCGGCCTTTATTAAGTTGAAAGTGTAATCACTGCAAAAAGTCATTTCGCTCAACGAACACTTCATTCAGGAAATCTGCTTAAGCTGCCAACCATCTGAATAAATTGCTCCCCACCATTTTAGCGATGTACGCAAAAATAGGTTAATAAGGTTAGTGAAATTAACGTTTCAGGGAACCCCAAAACCCCACCCCTGCGCTCTTTTTCTGTCCCCCTCGTCTTCATTCATCATTATTTTAACAGTAAGACAATTGGGCAAGAAAAAAATGTTATAAATATAACTTGGTGATGGCACAATATCACGTGTTGTTCATATTATTCTCAGTCTATTTCCTATTATATATATATATATATATATATATATATATATTTTTTTTTTTTTTTTTTTTTTTCAACTCAACAATAAAGACATCGCTGTGATGACCGACATCCTGTGGTTACGGCAGTTATTCTTGCGTTTTATTTTCATCATTTTTGTATAACCATGCAATTTCGAACTACTGCTATAAAATGATTAAATTGCGAAAACACACGATAACCCACTCACCTAGATCTAGTCTTATTAATTTTCAGAGCTTAAATGTTAACTCATTTGCTAATGGACTCGCCGACACGACAGGAATTCAACATGGGTGGGATTCGAGTGACGGGGGTGGGTGCGTGCGTGTTTACAACGTGATTAAACACGCGTTGTAATTGCCATGACGTACACGTGTTAACAGAGCAACAAGTCGGCGTTTATGACAGCCAGGTGAGGAAAGGTGATGAGTGCTTGTCACTTAATGTAAATAGTTAAAGAATCATTTTTACCGCGTGTAAAGTGCTTTTAAAGCACATGAAACGATATCTGCTTTGCGGTTGCTTCATGCTGTCTAAATGGGAATTGAACCGAAGGTCGGAGCTGCGGTTTAGAGACTGAGTGTGTTCACATAAAAAGGCAATGTTCAGACAGTTTTTCGAGTACTCTTGAAATAACTTAGATATTTATTTTCAATTTATTACGAAATTCACATGTAGGCCCTATTTGTCTTGAGGTGGTTGGATAAATCTGCCAATAAATACCAAGAGGTGCTTCCATAGATTCCGCGTGCGATGGGATGTATGAAAAACAGTCATAAGAGGTGGAGTTGTCTGGTGCAGATAGGCCTACATCATTCCGCGATATTCGGCCTAAGCCGACAGATCCCCTTTCACATACACACATCGAAAAAAAAAACATAATTTTTCAGCCTTGGCCTAATTGACTTTGGTCCGAGTTGCGTTGAGGTTTGTTCATTTGAAAGATGACATGATACCAGAGAGGGAGGAGTCGGAAAAGTGGCTCATGATTTGGGTTACACGCTGGAGTTAACTACGTCTTGTCTACTCACTCCACCTACCGTTCCGTTTCCTAGGAATTCATAGATGCCGTTGGTGCGTTGCACCACATCGTTGGGGAGGCCCAAGTCCCCCTCAAGTATGTTGTCCTTTAGAAGTGTTATCCCCGCTCTCAGTGCGAATGACAGGAACAGGTTGCAGTGAATGGTGTTTCTTGGACAGTGGAGACGCCTACAGTCGAGCGTTAATAATATTAATGATTTTAATTTTAATATTTTAATATTTACTATTAAAATAGTTATTTTGTGTAGGCCTAACAAAAAGATGTTTTACATTTGTCAAATTGTTGTATACAATGGAAAATTTATAGGGCGAAATGAAATCATAACCATTGTGTATCCATGTGAAAAAATAGAAAAATCCTTAGTGTAGCGTTTGGTAACTTCAAACATTTATTATATAGCTATTCGCGGGCGGCTTTGATGGTAATGGGATTTCATGCAGTGACAGATGTTCCTTTATACTGCAACTGTCGAAATTAATATACTCACCTGAAACTAATCATGACTACTAGCGCCACCACCAGGCAGATCAGCGAGATACCGTATCCAATACTGTACAAGAGCTGAATGTTATTAAGATGATCCTAAAAAATAATAATAATAACACGTATACTTATTTAAAGTCTAAAATGTTGTGTAGACCTTACAAATTAAATACATTTCATATACGAATAAAATACAAAGTTAAAAGGGTTTAATTTCTGTTCAAATGTAATGGTATTAAAAGTAAAGAGAATAGATGACGATATTCTTTTTAATCACCATGATGTCACAAAATATAGACTGGACCTCGACAGAACGTTTAAATGCACAATGTTTTTTTTTTTAATTTAGACAATTCTTCAGAAATATCGAAATATATAACCCAATGACTAGCAGAGGAATTACGGCCAGGATTTTACAGAAAATTTTCAGTTGCGCATTTAGCTATTCATTCATGTATTTTATCATGTCGTTTTGATGAGTCCACAAACACATAAACACATCAAAATAAACAACCCGTCACGAAATACTGACAAGTCTTTTATCAAACATTTATAAAACATTCATCCGTGTGTTCATTTATCATTTGCGTTATTCATGTGTTAATTTACCGATTGAATGCTTGGTTGATTGATAGGTTGTTTTTGCTTATTCCTCTTTTATTCATGTAAATTGACAATTTAAGCATTATAAGACATCTGTTACGTAACATGTTTCAGATTGATAGAATATATTTTATTGAGAATCCCCAGAGTTATCTGACATCGCATAAGATATAAATCAAAAAGAAGCCCAAAATGACACTAGACGCAATTGGTATGGCAAAGTTCCAAACAAACGACGGTAAAATGTTATCTAAATGCACCGTCTGATCGTCCTATGATAAAATCCAATTTCTTCCTTATCTATCATCCTGATGTTTCTATCAGTGCATTCAGAATAACCCTTCTAGGGGTTTAGGTCTAAATGGCGTCAAAGGAAAACCACGTTATTCTTTTCCAGCGATAACATTATATAACTACTGATATTCCAGAATCCCAAAGATTACCCAACTGCTGTTACCCAACTGTTACCCAACCGATTGTAGATTTCCAGATGATGCTGAAGTACAACTATCTCAAACTGGGGATGTTGTGCTCAGGTCACATGTGCGTCATTCTGCTCCTCTGATCACGTTATTCCCAACAGGGTAACACAACATGAATAAAGGCAAAATAGGGCAACACAACATAAGTAAAGGCAAAATAGGGTAACACAACACGAATAAAGACATTCAGGGCAACGCAAAAATATTCTTCCCAGAAAAGTGTTAATATTACGAACGGGGTGTCTGACAAACATAGTAATACAATCTACAGGGCAGTTTGTCGTGCGGGGTAACACAATAAACAAAATATTCAATCAAAAAAAAAAGTAATACAGCATACACTGTATACGGTAGTGTCACATACGGGATAAAAACAAGCAGTTTACAAGCAGGGTAACACAAGCAGCAGGGCAGTCCAAAATCGGGTAACATTACCTTCATGAATGTCGAGAGGACCGGGATGTCCTTAATGTTTGCCTGACACGTGGAATAATTGGTCCAAGATCTATTGTAGACAGTACTGTAAAACCATGAACCGTCTTCCAGACACCTTTTGGTCGCAGACTCTGAAAATGTGCCCAAAATGAATTACATTAACAATATAATGGCAAATTAGTCCCAGTATACGCTTATATTAAACATGTTTTGAAGTGCATGGCGCCAAACTTTACAAAGTCATGTAAATGTATTTTGGAGCTTGACATAATGACTTTTGCATCACTATTATCAGCGAGAAACTAAAATGACAAGTTAACTCGATCTCGACACCTTACATCCATACACTGAGAGAGAGATATTCAGCCTGTGGCGCTTGTTATGAATCTTACTATTATCCTGTTTTTATTCAATAAGCAATGTGACTGCCGATCTATTTAAAATCTGATAACTCTGAATTAGGAGCACCGGCTTCTTGGGAGCGCGTAAGCTTATGTGTCTTTTTTGCTCCTAATTGGCGTATACAATCTCATTACGTTTGTCATGCTGGAGAGCATTCGTTGGGATTCTGTAATAACTCTGGATAAAGAAGGCTTTTGATGGAACATAACAGACGTCGGGATGCCATAGATAACGAAGCGATTTCGAGATTGAGGTTTTTTCGGTTTTCGTTTCTATGCTGAGCATGTATTTAAAGTGAAACCAAGGATTTTTTCTATCCTTGTTCTCGTCTAGTCTTGTGTATTTTATCTTTTTCCATGCTCCCGCCGTTAACAAAATCGTGGATTCGGCAGAGCATTTTAAAACTTATTCCAAAAGTTCAGCAATTCAATCACTAGTATCATCCAAATAGATTACAGAACACCCAATGCCTTTCCGCACCGAACTTGGGGCTCATTAAGGATAAAATGAAATCCAAAAATGATCGTAGCTTACTGTTTTGCATTTTGGAGAAGATAAAGAAGGTCAGACGGTTCTGAACTACGCGGCAATATCAAGTGATTCTACGTGTGCATGTTGAAGGATTAAAGAGCACTTGTTATCTTCAGGTATCAAACTTTCACGTATATCTCGACAGGGGCACCGCTTGTAAGAATCGTCGGTGTTAGCAAGCCTATGGGGATTCTCAGAAAAAGCTTTCGAAATTCTTAGTTGAGAGCATCAGTTGTTCATACTGCATCTCCTTTTCTCACTTCATTTTTGATTCCATTTCGTTTATTCATTCATTTATTATTATTATTATTATTATTATTATTATTATTATTATTATTTAGAAAATAACTGAATGGTATAGTACTGCAAGTAGGACTATAACACGCAATACAATGTCCATAACATATCTATCGATTGTGAACATCAAAGATGTTAAGTCCGGCAAAAACATCGACAACATCGGTTGAGTCTCCTCAACCTCCTGTCTGAGTCTCCTGCCTCGTCAAAGCTTGAAAAATGACTTAATCCGTTTGCTCCATAGATGGCTTACTAATCAAAAAGAAATTCTGCGGAAAATCTTTTCAGCTTCAACTAGATACCGATACAATTCAAGATTATATGTAAATTCCAGCGAAAACGACCGATAAAATAGAACAATTTTTAAGAGTACAAGTACACAAACAGAGCTCGAAGTCTCGCAAAAGGCACGCCGGTACAATTCAAGATTATATGTAAATTTCAGCGAAAACGACCGATAAAACAGAACAATTTTTAAGACTACAAGTGCACAAATCGGGCTCGAAGTCTCGCAAAAGGCACGCTAATCGACTGATAGTTCACCGTATTAATCACATCTCCAATGACACACGCTTCAACGAGCGAAAATGCAATCAACGCAGTCACTGTTGTAACGAAATCAGTACCCAGTGAACGGAACAGACAGATGGTGCAATGTACACGCAGATGTGCTCTGGTACATGTTTCCGTGAATCTGAAATTACCGAATGAGACGGGACTCTCTGATTTGGCGTTCACTCCTGATAGTAATGTAGCCAACACGAATAATAAACATGTTTATTTTTTCCTTAATTCTAACTGTATATTTTCAGTCTATTATTATTATTATTATTATTATTATTAAATCATATACGGGTCCCAATATGGCAGGCTTTGTCTCCTAATAGTAAACGCACTGAAGTTGTCTCACTTCTTTAAGTGGCCAATACACACACTAACTTAACGGTGTCACGTTCTTCACCAGAAAAAAAGGATGCCATTTTGGATTCTGTCCGTTGCCAAGGTTACTTAGCCACTTGTCATTCCCACACTATGACTAACTTTTTCCAGCAGACTCTGCCCTTTCAAATGATATATTATTTTGGTCTAAGGATGAAGGGACACTCAACTCCTTGAATAAGGTACTTTTTGTGGATTTGTCGCTCATCTACACGCAGAATGATAAATCAATCAATCATTTTCAAAGGAAAAAAAAACATTTGTTCACATTCTCGCTTTCGCATAACACAGATACGATTTTGACCAAAATATATTGCATGCTTCCTATTTTTCATCATGTTCTCTTCGTAATAATGACATGGATTTGACATTGGTGAATTTGATAATTAGTATAAAAAGTAATGCAATATATATACATTGGATAACAATTCCTTCAATACGGAACATGTTGGGCATTTCTGTAAAATTCAATAATGCTCATTATATTACAGGCCCGTAGCGGGGGGTGGGGGTAGAGGGGGGGGGGGTCGGGGTGTTCGAAAGAACCTCCTCTTTTTGCTGGGAAAGGCCCCCTCTGGATAAAATTTTATCTAGGTACATGAAGGTTTCATGATAAAAGGTCCACTTTTTTCAGAAATGAACTCCACTTTTGAAATTGCTGGCTACGGGCCTGATATTAATACAACAATCATTTACCTTCAATATTAAAACCGTTGACGTAGTTTGGACACCGTTGCTCGCTGGTGGTGCCCGCAGGGGTGTCCGGCCAGCACATCACTCCATCCCACGTCCTGTTACAATATGATCCTGGGGAACGGGAAAAATATAATAGTAATGAAGTAGGCATGACACAGTTACCTGTAGCATCTATATGCATCTCTCTTTCTCATCTTCTCTCTCCCTCAAAGCCCATCATATACTCTCTCCCCCTATCCCTTCTCACCACTCTCTCTCTCTCTCTCTCTCTCTCTCTC